GTAAAGAATACAACTATGATGTACACATATTTCATATATTATGTTGAAACTGGGTATCACAAAGTTCTCAATTCAATAAAATATAAGAAATAATGCGCTACGTGATTGTCGCTATTAACATGAATTAACCCTCATCGATCGCAACGAAATCTAGTGTACATTTAGCAATTCCAAACTTCTGTTGCACAATGCTCAACAAGACCATCTCTTTGTGAACTTGCTTCCTATAAGAAACACTGACGAAAACCCATTAAGTGTTGATTGGTGCACTTAAAGGTGGGAATTGAAAATGTTAAGCTGAAGTCAACAACTAGATCAAAGCTCATAATCCCAACAAACTAATGAGTCTGTCAAGCTTGAAATAGTGTAAGGTGAGGGAACCTTCATGCTACCTGTACCTTAGGTAGGAGTAAAACTAATTCTGAGAGACAGTTATTTAGTTCAATGGATCATCATGAAAAAATTTAAAATACCGTAATGATTCGATTTAGCGCCCTCCTTNGTGATGTAGCTCAATAAAAGGACTTCTGTTGTTCCAATGTCTCAATTTTATGTTATAAAACAAATGGTAAGAGCCATAGCGTGCACTATTGAGTTATGGATGCACTTGGGAGGTTTGCTGAAGCACTCAAGAAGCTAGAGTCGCACTCGGCTATCGCCTCGTGCGCTCTTATGCTTCTTTCGTGCTTAGCAACCTCCCGCGTGCATCCATAACTCAATAGTGCACGATATGGCGTTTAACATTTGTTAATTTGGACATTTCAGCGCATATGGGCAGTTCATCTCAGGTTGACACAGAAAACTCATGCTTTCAAAAGATGGCATGCAGCCAGTTTCCACCTTTAATAATTGCACTTTGTGACTTGGAAATTATATGATAAAGCAGCTAACAAGGAAGGGCTATTAATCAGAAGGGTACTAAGCAAATTATTGTATACTGCTACGTACAGTATTATCATATTTTCTCTCGGACGTACAAGGTAAGGGTTTTTTAAGTTTTCAGTAAAAGTCGATTTACTCTCTTTGCATCACAAGAGCAATCTTGAAACCACTCATATGCAGAGCAAACCTCTGTTTACAATGGGCAAATTGCTTAAACACATCACGTTTGTAACAAGTTAAGACCATCTCTTTGTCAACCTCAGTTGCTTCTTATGGGGAACACTTTGTTAAAAGCCCACCATTATATCTTGATTGGAGGAACTCCAAAAGTTGGGAATTGAAATGTTAGGCTGTCAACAACTGTAGATCAAAGCTTTTTAATCCAGGAGACAAATGAGTTTGAAATAGTGTAAGGTGAGGGAACCGTCTTGTTACCTGTACCTAGGTGTGACTAAACAATCTGAGAAACCGCTAAATAGTTCAAAGAATATAGATACATAATTAGAATTGTGGTCAACTGTAACTTTAAGAGCTCTAATATCATTTAATTTGAATTTAATAATCAAAAAAATGAGAAATATATTTCATATTATAACTATTACTATTATGGAAATTACTTAATAAATCTTATGAAAATAATCAAAGAAGTATAAACTTGCAATATTCTAAAATCATTATAAGAGGGATTGCAATCTGTCACTGCTGTCCTTTTGTCTATTATATTTCATTTTTTTATTTCATACAACACAAACACCCCAATTTATTATTACTGAGCATGGGAAACTGTCACCCAACTTGGCCCATTCTTTAGATTTACATGACTTCACAAGAACTGGGCAATGTAATTAAAACCTGAATGCTAATCAAAATCCCAGGTTCATAGCGCATTTAAGAACCATTTATGTTAAAGTAAAAAGAAACTCTGGAAATTGCCCTAGTCCAACTTTAGTCCCATTGGTACTCTCAGAACTGTTCTCAAACCTAAAGGTGACTCCTGAGCACGACACAGACTCTCTACCATCTTGAACAAAACAAGAATTAGCACCGGAGATGGAAGCTTCGAAACGGTAGAAACAACTTTTCCTAATGATAACAGCAGGTTCTAAGAAAATGTAAACGCCGTAATAGGAAACTCGTTCTGCCTTGATGAGCTCCGAAGAAAAAGTTCCTGTTTTGGAAACGACATATTCATTTTTGCTATAATCATTGATGCGCAGAGTAACAGAATATTTATTATTTTTGCTACCGCATAGGGTTAAGCCATGGAGGCGAACGTCTTTACTAACTTTAAGAAAAAGACAGTCTTTTTTAGCTGGTAAATAAGGATAACCTAAGTCACCGTATTTAACCGACCGAAATCTGCAACAACGCTGAAACAGTTCCCGTAAACCAGTCCTGTCCTCCTCAGGAAATCCCACTGGACTTATTAAAACTGAATTAAAAAACTTAAAAACTCTGAAAGCTTCGTCAGGTGTCAGTATCTTACAGTCAAGAACAACATCGGCAAATTCATGTTGCTTCATAATCGGAAAACGTATTCCTTTTACAATCCGTTCTCCGAGAATTTTTCTTTTTTCACTTCCATCTGTTGCTAAGCCTTGTTGTTCACATCTCTTTGTCGCCCACAAATTCACTGCTTTGAACAACTCTATCTCTTGAATAGTCAAAGTGTCACGCTCGACCACTGATTCAAGTAAGTCTCTTTCAATTGTCACAAACCCATCAGATTTCACAGCCTCTTCTGTCTGTTCATCGATCACTTTCCAGCATTGATCGACCAGGCTTTTCTCTTCATATTTCTGTGCTTGTGGCAGGATACCGAAGACATTCGATGGATCTAAGTTATCCTGCAGATATTCCGAACATTTATCGGCCAGTGAAGGCACCATGTATTTCTTCGCCAAATACAATACTCCCATC